TAGAACCAGCTGCCCTGTCTGTGCAACGTGAATATGTTTTGGTGGATTTTTAAGAAAACTTCTTTATGATAATGACCAGTGTAATAGTTTAAAAGTCCCCCCCCCCTTCATTATCAATTCAAATGTACATTGTTTTATGCCTGGTCACATTAAGATTTTTAACAACTATATATATAACATCATCCTCCCTCCCATTTTTTAAAAAAACAAATGCAATCTTACAAAAACCTTGGCATGCCAAACACTGATTCCATTAATGTCACTACTGTGGCACCCTTCTTTGGGCCTCCTTTTGAGGAACAATATTGAGAACCCTTGTCAAATAATCATAGTAATGACAGTAATCCATATAGAGCTAATTGACTATTTTGAATTCTCACCTTTTAAGCATAGATTTAATTTCTGGAGACAGTCAAATTTGGTGACTTCTAATCCATTACAAAAAAAAAAAGAAAAAGAAAAGGCTTTATTTCTAGAGCAGTTTTCACAGCAAAATAGAGCAGAAAGTACAGAGAGTTTCCGTATTTCCTCGATACCTGCCCCACACCCCCAGCCTCCACTGTTGGAACAACAATCCACACTACAGTGGTGCCATGGTTACAATAGATAAGCCTGCACTGACACGTCATCATCCAAAGTCCATCGTTTACCTTAGGGTTCACTCTTGGTGTTGTACATTCTATTGGTTTTGCTAAATGTATACTGACATGTATCCATCATTGTAATACTATACAGAAGTTTCACTGCCCTAAAAATCCTCTGTGCTCTGCCTATTCATCTCTCCCTACCCCCTAGCCCCTGGAAACCACTGATCTTTTTACTGTTTTCATCTATTTTGCCTTATCCAGAATATTATATAGTTGGAATCATACCCTATGTGGACTTTTCAGATTGGCTTCTTTCATTAGTAATATGAACTTAAGGTTCCTCCATGTCTTTTCATAGCTTGATAGCACATTTCCTTTCAGCACTGAATAATATTGCATTGTCTAAATAAACTACAGTTTATGCATTCACCTACTGAAGGACATCTTGGTGGCTTCCAAGTTTTGGTAATTATTATTATTATTATTTTTTATTGTTAGTTTCAGGTGTACAGAACAATGCAATAGTTATCCTTTTCACCCAAGTTTTGGTAATTATGAATAAAGCTGCCATAAATATCTATGTGCAGCTTTTTGTTTTTTCAACTTATTTGGGTGAAATACCAAGGAGCATGGTTGCTGAATCACACGGTAAAAGTATGTTTAGTTTTGTAACAAACCACCAAACTGTCTTCCAAAGGACCATCTTGCATTCCCACCAGCAGTGAATGAGAGTTCCTGTTGCTGCACATCCATTCAGCTCTGGGTGTTGTCAGTGTTCCAGGTTTTGGCCATTCTAATTGGTATGCAGTATATCTCATCTTTGTTTTAATTTGCATCTCACTGATGACCTCTGATGTAGAGCATCTTTTCATATGCTTATTTGCCACCTATAGATCTTCTTCCGTGAGGTGTCTGTTCAGATCTTCTGCCCATTTTTTTATGCAGGTTGTTTATTTTCTTATCTTTGAGTTTTAAGAGTTCTTTATATATTTTGAAAAGCAGTCTTTTGTCAGATATGCCTTTTGCAAATATTTACTCCCATTCTCTAGCTTGTCTTCTTATTCTCTTGATCCTAATCTATTTTTAGGATTAAGAGACAGAGTGGGGGGAAAAAAAAGAAAGAAAGAAAGAAAAAAATGGACTAGAAGACAGGGTGGTGCTGGATTATCCAAATGGTAGACTAGGCCTAAGCTCAGGGCACCTGAGCATCAAAGGAGCATCAAAAACATGAGACAAAAAGTTTTGAAAGAATCTGATGTGAAAAAAGACACAATAACATCTACCTTTGGCTATACCTGAGTAGTAATTGGTACAAGACTTGCCCTCCCACTGAACAACTACAAAATGGAACAAAATATATAATGCAACTGTTTTCAGGCATTGGGCAAAAGTTAGTGTAGGACTATGATTCTGGAGTGAAGGGAAACACATGAGGTAAGCCTCACAATCACCCTAGATGCCAGGTATGGTACAGGCATGTGGATCCCAAGTGGAAAGGTGTCTTGTTGAGCTGACGGGGCAGAGAANCTTAACCAATGCACCACTCAGCCGGCCCAGGTTATGCCTTTTTAAACAGAGGCCTGATGCAGAGACTGTAAGTGACCTTTGTGACACTAGTTGGCCGTCGTCATTCATCCATATGACCAAGTGTTAGAGTTTGCTTTCTCTTGGTAAAATGTGAATTACCTCCTATTTTTAGGCAACATAGGATAAGAATTACAGAGCTGCACAAAAAAGTATCAACAGTCTAGTGGTAAACCTGGGCCACATCTGCCTCCTAAGAGGCCTACAAGCTGCCCGTCCACAGAGGCTGGTTGGGCAAATCCTCCTGACCCTTTGTAATCAGCTGCCCCACCCTTCACAACCCCTGCTCTAAATCAGAAAATGGTGAAATATGCTTTCTGTAAAGTTTAGCTACATTCAAGCTAAATGAGTTTTTACAGCCTCATTGAACTCCGTTTATTAGACTCAAATTATTCCAGGTCTTCAAATGGAAATTTACTTGACTGAGGTTTTTAACTGACTAGAACCTACATGACCTCAAAACGAAGTCTCTAAAACTGAATATTTTGTATTTTTCCTCAGATCACTGTTTTCTGGAGAGATTTGATTGATCCAAGACTGATTGTTGAATCTCCAAGTAACACATCAAATACAGAGCTTGCCTGAGTATGACCTCTCCACCTCGTAGTTTATAAATGTCTTGTTTGTAAAAGTGACTATAACCTGACCTTTAAAAAAAAAAAGATTTGAAAGTTGTATGCATTTTTTTATCTTCACTTGACTGTGTAGGAAAAAGTCTACCTCATTGTTTAAAATAACATGGGCGTGTTGCTTTTCTAGACCTTTCTTTTCAGGTTTAACTTTAGTAACAAAATTTAAAACATGACATTCCCTGCAGGCATTGTTATATACTAGTATGTATGGTTTCTTCTCTCTCTTTCTTTTTTTTTTTTACCATCAAGTAGCCATTGTCAGTCGGAGTTTATAATACCAAGTACAAAAAAGTGTTGCATATCTTGTCTCTGTAAGTTTTACTAAGTAGCATTTTAAAACACAAAAGCATGTTACTTGACCTAATTTTTTACATTTGAGTTGTTCTATTAAATGTGGAACATCTTACAAATTTCAAGTATTTTATACTTCTAATTGTCAAGAATAGCGAGTAGTTGGGTTTGTTGCAGGCAGTGAGTTAAGAAATCCTTTCACATTTTCCCCAACTTTAAAATGAAGGATTCTCAGTGCTCTGTACAGAGCAGTGAGAATAAGAGCTGAGGTATGTGCCTGGGGGAAAAACTGGTGTTCCATTGGGTGAGAGGACTTGCCAGGAATTCAGACCAGGGAATGTGTTATCTTGCTGTCAGATCCCAAGTGCCTGGCTGAGTGTGCTGGAGCGAGGGTCGTGAACAGATATTCCTTTTTCTGTTATTATTCAACACAAAGCTAAAATGGCTAAATATATACTGTGAACATTACTTTCTTCCAACAAAAGATCAGATCCCTCCTTCAGCTTTGCAGATTTTTAAATAAAATTGTATTGAACGAAACTTCCATGCTGAGTCATCATGTTTAGTTGAGTGTTGCAAATCACTGTCTTGTTTTGCAATAATGCGAGGGATGAAAGATTTCGGGAACAAGGAGGCTTGCTAGAACAAGAGTCTGGTGTGGCCAAGTTTAGTCAAATGGAGCTTGTTAGATCTGGGAGCTGCTGGACCAGTGACGATGTTGTCCAGCTTTAATTGGCATGACATTGATGCGAGTCAAAATGTGGATTTATTGATTTGTAATGGGAAGCATGACTCCGGAAACAGCAAGATTAACATGAATGTTGGGGTCTTAGCTGTGGGGTTCTTGTGTAGCATACTTTCTATCCAGGGTTTGGAAACCAAGATAACTGGTAAACGGCAACAGGTGCATGAAAAGATGCTCAGTGTCGCTAGTCATCAGGGAGATGCAAATCTGAACCACAGTGAGATATCCCCTCACACCTGTCAGAATGGCTACCATCAAAAACACAAGAAACAACAAATGTTGGTGAGGATGTAGAGAAAAGGGAAGCCCTCTACACTGTTGGTAGGAATGTAAGCTGGTGCGACCACTATGGAAACCAGTGTGGAGGTTTCTCAAAATATTAAAAATAGAACTATATAATCCAGCAACTCCACTTCTGGGTATTTATTTGAAGAAAGCAGAAACATTAATTCGAAAAGATATGTGTATCCCTATGTTCATTGCAGTGTTATTTACAATAGCCAAGATACAGAAGCAACCTAGGTGTCCATTGACAGATGAATGGATAAAAAAATTGTTATATATATGTATAGTTATTATTCAGTCATAAAAAAAATGAAATCTTGCCATTTGTGACATTATGGGTGGGCTTTCAGGGTTTATGCTCAGTGAAATAAGTTAGAGAAAGGCAAACACTGTAAGATCTCATGTGTAGAATCTAAAAGAACAAAAACAAACAAAAAAATGAACTTAGATACAGAGACTAATTGGTGGTTGCCAGGAGTCAGGAGTGGTCAAAACGGGTGAAGAGGATCAAAGGTACAAACTTCCAGTTATAAAATAAATAGGCCATGGGGATGTAATGTACAGCATGGCGACTATAGTTAATAGTACTGTATTTTATATTTGAGCGTTGCTAAGGGAATAGCTCTTAAAAGTTCTCATCACAAGAAAAAAAATTTGTAGCTATGTATGGCGACAGATGTTAACTGGAACATCTATTACGTGGTGATCATTTCACATTGTATACAAATATCAAATCTGTTGTACAGCTGAAGCTAATACAATGTTATATGTCGATTATACCTCAAAAAAAAGAAGTAACTCGTAAACATTGGGAAGTGTTGAATTTAGGGTGTGTTTTCCTCAGATTATAATCAGTTTATGAATCACCTTTTTCCTCGGTAGTGGTGTTTTTCGAACTATGAGTAGCAGTCTACTAGAAGGGTCATGATATCAATTTAGGGGGTCATGGCCTGCTTTTTGAAAAATGAAATACGAAAGAAGAGAAAAATAAACAGTGCACCATATCCAGGAAATTGAAGTTTGCTTTACGGAACAATTTACATACAGCTAGGTGTGTACTACGTAAACTTTCACTATGTAAAATGTACATGTATTTCTTACTGCTTGACATCAGAGCTATATATTGTCAGATGTGGAAACTCTAAACTATACCATGATTCCAGGAGTGAGAGAAGCGGGGAGATGAGAAAAACGGAGCTAGGAAACAGGTGCGTGCCAGGGCCTGTGTCTGCCTCACTGCTCCTGGGCTGGTCCAGAAGCAGTTACAGTCGAGGGAAACAGCAAGTACTCAGATGCCAGCTGCCACTCCTATAGGATTGTGCCGTGGGCGGAAAGTAGTAACTCATCTAACTTCTCTCGACTCAGCACCCAATAACTTGCCGAAGACCACCCAACGAGAAGAGGGAGGATCTAGTGTAATTGCCGAGCAGTTCTCCCCCCAGGATGCTTTGGTGACTACCCCTAAAGCGGCTTTGTGCTGGCCTGCGTGGGAGCAGCTGCAGGGCTCTTGCGTCCCGTCTCCCCACTGCCGCCTTTATCCTCGGGAATCTGAACCTGCTGCTGACCTTTCCGCCTCCTTGCTTGGCTCAGTGTGGTCCATCTTCAGGTTGTCTACTCACCACTTCAGTTGTCGCTTAATCAAAAGTTTATTTTTTTGTTTGGATTAAAAAAATTGTTTAAACGGCTCTATTGAGGTATAATCCATATGCCAAAAACTGCACATATTTAATTGTCGGTTTGATGAGTTTGGACCTATGCGTATACTCGTGAAAAACCATCAGCACAATCGAGGTAACAAACATCCATCACTTACTTACCCCGTGCCCTGTTTTGTTTCTGTGGTAAGAACGCTTAACATGGGACCTACTGTCTGAACACAACTTTTCATGTGCACAGGACAGTGTTAACTATGTTGGACAGCAGATCTCTAGAACTTACTCATCTTGCATAACCGAAACTTTATACCCATTGAACAGCAACTCCCCATTCCCCCCTCTTCCAGTCTCTGGAAACCACCATTCTCTATTTCTATGAGTTGGATTATTCTAGATACTTTATACAAGTGGAATCACGCAGTA